CTGGGGGTGCAGTGAGGGGGGAGCCCCAGGGTCATGTGGGATTGAGGAGGGCCAAGCTAGGGACTGTGGAGACCCAGGAGTCTGGGGGTGCAGTGAGGGGGGAGTCCCAGGGTCACTGCGGATTGAGGGGGGCTGAGCTAGGGGCTGTGGGGACCCAGGAGTCTGGGGGTGCAGTGAGGGGGGAGTCCCAGTGTCACAGCGGATTGAGGGGGGCTGAGCTAGGGGCTGTGGGGACCCAGGAGTCTGGGGGTGCAGTGAGGGGGGAGTCCCAGTGTCACAGTGGATTGAGGGGGGCTGACCTAGGGGCTGTGGAGACCCAGGAGTCTTTGAGGCAAATGGGGCCTAAGCGGGATCCACCCCTGAGGAAAGGGCCGCAGAGGGTCCCGGTGGGGGGTGGCCAAGGAGAGGCGATCTGGATCCATAGGGAATGGAGGCAGGGGGCCCGGGCAGGGGGGCAGGGCCCTGTTGAGGTCTGGGTGCCCCGCAGGCATATCAAGGGCTCCCCAGCTACTGGGTTGCCTCTATGGGGTGCCCAGGGCAGGTGGGCATCGAGGGGAACCCGTGGTGGAGGAGGGGAGAGCCCCACAGATCCTGACCAAGTGTGGATCCCCAGGGAAAAGCCGGCTCCTGCTGGGGGGCCTGGGGACATCTGGGTGCACAAGGTGAGGGACCCCGCAGGAGCTGGGGAGATGTGGGTCTGGGCCTGGGAGGCCACAAAGAGCGAGAAGGACCAAGGGGAGGCCAGGGTGTGGACCCTCCAGAAAGCGGGGGACAGGAGAGTTGGGCAGGGAGAGGGGAGGCATGAGGCACCCTAAGTGGGCAAAGGTAATGTGCATCACATGGGGCCTGATATTGGGGGGAATTGCAAACACACACTGGCAGGGGAGCAGATATCACTGTGGGGTGGGAATGGGGGGCACAGGTAGGGAGACCCCACTGAAGCACATTGGGTGGGTGGGAATGGGGGGCACAGGTAGGGAGACCCAACTGACACACATTGGGTGGGTGGGAATGGGGGGCAAAGGTAGGGAGACCCCACTGATGCACATTGCGTGGGTGGGAATGGGGATACAGCTGGGGAAATCACATAGGGGAGAGCTAGAATAGGGGGTGCAGGTGGGGAGACTTGGTGGACATTGGGAGACCCCACCGTCCACAAGATTCTCTGGCTGGCACACCAGAGGGCAGTGGTGTCTGGTGCTACTAGGGCAGGGAGCGGAGGAGAGGCTCCTTCAGCTGGAGGACAGGTAAGTGGGGCGTCCAGAGGCTCCCAGGCCTGGACGGGGGGGATCCGGATGGATGGACTATGTGCCGCTGCATGCCTAGGGTAGGATCTGGAGGGGTGGGTAGCAGTATGAAGGACCAGTGGAGGGCTTAGAATATTTACAGCATGTCACTGTGTGTTTGAGTTGGGGGGGCATGGGGTGTGCAGAGGATTGGTTCAGGCCCAGGGAATGGGATGACAGCACCTTCCTCTCTAGGGGACGCTGGCTCTGAATTGGCCCCAGGGCAAGGGTACTGGCTGGCTCGGGGAGGGAATAGGATATGGGGACTTTCCCCTCTAGGGGGGCTGGCTCTAATCCAGCTCAGCGGGGGGGAGGGGGGACTGGCTGGGACTGAGGGTGAGTCTCTTGGTTTACCCCCACTAACCAGGTTCTCATTGCATGTCCTTCCAGGATGCAGTCGAGCCAGGCCACAGCGCTGCTCACACTCTGCCTGTGGGCGCTTTGTCATCCAGCGCTGGGCACTGAGGGCAAGAGAAAGCTGCAGATTGGCGTCAAGAAGCGGGTGGAGAACTGTCCCATCAAATCCCGCAAGGGAGATGTGCTGCACATGCATTACACCGTGAGTGCTGCCCTGTGGAAGGGGGCAGTGCCAACCAGCTAGGGCCTGGGGATCTGTATGCTGGCAGGCACGGGAGGCATCAACTAGCCAGAGCCTGAGGTTCTGGGGCCAAGGAGAGACCTAGCCAGCCGATGTCCCTGGTGCCCCATTAATGCAGGGAAAGGGAGGACACAAGTATTTGCCTGTAGCTCCTGGGGCAATGTTTGTGTGTTGGGAGATGGGAGTCTCTGGCTGGGGCAGGCCACTCCATCTCACCCCCTCCTCTCCCACAGGGCAAGCTAGAAGATGGGACCGAGTTTGACAGCAGCATCCCACGTGACCAGCCCTTCATCTTCTCGCTGGGGACGGGCCAAGTCATCAAAGGCTGGGACCAAGGCCTGCTTGGGTAAAGTCCTGCTCTGCAAGTTGGGGGAGGGGGTGTTCAGAGAGCAGTCCCCCACATTGAGCCTGGGGCTCAACTCAAGCTGTGGCTGGAATCAGAGTGAGGGACCCAGACATCCAGCTCATGGTGGGGCACGTGGCACAGTTCCCTTTAGCCTCTCTCCATATGTCACTTGGCCTCCCCCTTCTCTGGTGTTAATCACGTTTATTACAGTAGCCCCTGAGGACCCTCTGCTGTCCCAGGCACTGCACAGTCAGGACTGGCTGCAGCCCTGCCCCGCCCCCCCAAGCTCCCACTTGACCAGTGGAGGGGGCAAACGGCTCCTGTTCCGAGCCTTGGCATGGATTTGCAGAGCGATCCATGCCCCAGCCTTTGTACAGTCTTGGAGCATCCCCTGCATTGTGCTACAGCCTAGAACCACCCCCTTTGGCAAAGGGTGAAACCCACCACTCTGAGACAGGGCCCTTGGGCTCCAGCACCCTCTCTCTGTGGCTCCCCAGCTAGTGCCTGGTAGACGCTTTTCATCCCTTCAGAGAGTGATGCAACTAACGGATTTGCAGCGACCCGGCGCAGCCTTTTCAAAACGGGCGGGTGTTTATTAGTCACTTGGCCTCCATCATTAAAGGGGCCATCTTAGAATGGAAAACAAAGCTTAAATCTGAGTCCATGCTGGCAGCATCACCTGCCACTCTGGTCCAAAGCTTGGAGTCTCTCTGTCTCCCTACACTGAGTATTGGCAGCTGAATTCTGATAACCGTGACCTCAGCCCCTTGGTGCCCAGGTGCAGCCCTGCTGTGTCTGGGTCCTTCTCCCTTGGCTGGCAGTCGTGGCCTGCCAGCCGGACTCCCAGTGTTCCTCCAGGGCTCGATGCCTTGATGCATTCGCCCCCAGCTAGAGAGACCGCAGCTGTCCCTTCTCCTCTGCGCTAGGGGGGAAAGTAACCCCTTCCCGGCCAGGGGGTGGCAATCCCAAGTGGGTGGGGAAACTGAGTCACACCTATGGTTCATACAGATATGACCACAATTCCCACACTCTGCACATGCCTCCTGAGCCTTAATTCAGACTTCGCTCCACCTGCCCTGTCTGCAGTGATCTTCCTGATGCTGCCAGCCAGCCATCGATCACTGGGGTTGTCCATTCTGCGTGACTTCACAGCAAAGAAATTAACACCTTCTTCTCTTTGAACTGGATGCTGCCTATTCCCACTCTGGATCAGCGGCAGAGCTGTAGACAAAGCAGGAGTCCTGGCTTCGAGCCTCTGCTCTAACCCACAGGACCCCACTCCCCTCCCAGAACTGGGAATAGAACCCAGAAGTCCTGGCTCCCAGCCCCCTCTGTGCTAACCACTAGACATACTGAATATTACGCCGTGCTGCTCCAGTTACATTAGTCAACTGTTAGTGGCCATAGCCAAGCTAGTACCACACGCTGTTCCATCCCTAGCAGTGGTTGCAGGTGGATACATGGATTTTTTTTTCCCCATGGGGGGCGGATACACCACATAGCCCAATGAGCAGCAGCTCTTCTGACACTACTGTCTTACCCACTGTGACTGTCTCCTATGCTTCTCAACCAATCTTGGTTTTTAAGCCTCTTACTGTTTTGGTTTGGGCTGCCTTGTTTGCTCTTGGAGCCGATAGTAGTTCAGGGGGTGGATGAGCTTATAACCAAGAGCTGACTGAGAGGGTGCAGCAAGCAGAAAATGGATTCTCACGCATGTAAGCCATTCTGGGTCAAGCAACAGGGTTGGGAGAGATTCCAAACCTGCCAGGGGGTGGTCAGGTGCCCCAAATGTGATCCCCCACTGGGGGAAGAGTGGTACAGTGGTTAGCGCTGCTTAGATGGCTAGTTCTCAGAATGGGGCTGACTCCTAGGCCCTGTAAGACAAACAGGGCCCTAGCCTAGGGCTCTGGAAGCCCTGGTTCCATTTGCTGCGTGGGCAGGTCACTCGGTTTCTCCATCTGCAGCTGGGGATAATAGCTCTGCCCAGCCTCAGGCCTGTGATAAAGATTGAGGTGCCCAGACCCAGTGGGGATGGGGGCCAGAGCAGTACCGAAGATGGGTCTAGAACTGACTCTTTCCTGCACAGTCATCCATCCCAAGGCCAGAAGAGCCCACGGTGACCATCTGGCCTGACCTCCTGTCCCAGGCCATTGGACTCTTTCTGGCCGAACTAGAGCAGAGCTGTTAGAAGAACATCCTGTCTTGATTTAACAATTGCCATGACGGAGAATCCACTGCAGCCCTTGGGAAAGATGGGTCCGAGCAAGAGAAATTGGAGACTGGCAATCCCACTGATGCTCACACTCAGATTCCTGGGCTTAGAGGCCCAAATGCACGATACACCTCCCCTGGATCAGCAGCAGGCTTTGAGCCTCTTCACCTTCAGATCCCCACAAGCCCCTTATTGTTTCAGGTACAACGGAGGTGGTTGAAGTCTGCCAGATTTCAGCATGTGCAATACATTCATTCTGTTAAATACCTGCTATTTGTGTTACTGGGTTTAGCCAGCTGTCTGTGCCAGTGGGGGATTTCTAGCTGTCACGTGCAGTTGAAGGTAAATAGTCCATTGACAATTTTGGCCTCAGACATTGGGAATCTGGGCAATATCGACTCTCCCATGAACTTGCCCATGATTCATTTTACCTGCACGGACTATCAGCAGCAGAGGCGCCCTGAGCTTTTGCCATTGTGAAGTGGAGTTATCTGCCATTTTACTGATGGCAGAGAAGAGTGTGGGGGTGACTTCCCCAAGATCCAGAGAGTGAGTCAGTGGCAGGACCAAGAGTGGAATTCAGGAGTCCTGCCTCCCGGCCTCCTGCTCTAGCCCACGGGGCCCCACTCCCCTCCCAGAGCTGGGGGTAGAATCCAGGAGTCCTGCCTGCCAGCCGTAGTCTTTTGCCCCAGGAGAGGGCTCTGAGTGGTGGCTTAACAGGGGAAGCTGCAGGGGTGATGTTTGCTGCTGTTGGGTTACAATAAGCATATAATCCTGTCTTTGCTTCCTTAAAGGGGCTTTGTGGTGGGGAGTGGGGGGGTCTGACTGAGAGGTCTGGTGCTGTTGACTCAGCAAGTCTCACTGCTGTCTCCTTTCAGGATGTGCGAGGGTGAGAAGAGGAAACTGGTGATTCCCTCTGAGCTGGGTAGGTAGCCAGGGATTGGACTGACCCACTCTGCAGGGGGAATGGGGTATAAGGCCTTTCTCCTCTAGGGGACGCCAGCTCTGATCCAGTCCTAGCAGGCAGTGACCAATGATCAAACTGCTGGGGGTCTCTCCGGTTTCCATGTCTTGCTAAAGTCACCTGCCCAGAACCATCACCAGAGGGGACTGTGGGTGGGAATTGAGGGGCATCAACAGAGCTATGAGGTGGGAGCCTGGGGCTGTGGGTCAGGACTATGGGGCATCAGGGTGTTCACTCCTAGGCCAGTCCCCTGTGGGAAAGCAGGTGGGGGGAGGAGGGGGGCACTGCTTTGGGTGCCCAAAAGACACTGACATTTACAGGAGGGTGCTCTTTGTGCCAGTCTGGCCTCTTTCCCATTGCTCAAGTCCCTGCCCGAAACCTCCTCTCCCCATTGGGCTGTGGGGGTGGGAGGGTCAGTTCCTTGCTTTAAATTTTCTCTGTTTCCTCCAAAGGCTATGGGGACCGAGGGGCTCCACCTAAGATCCCAGGTAAGGCCACTGTGCACCCCATGTGCTTGGTCCCTGCCTGTCCCTCGGGGCAGTGGTGCCAACCGTGTGAACTGCCAGCCCATCAGGTCTCCACAGCCTACCTCCAGTCACTCACTGGGGCAGCCCCTCCTCTATCACCTCCCAGGCAGCAGGGCCCCTATCCGGCCATCTGGCAGTGAGGTCCTCCCTGCTCCCCTCCCCCACAGTGACATAGGGTCCCTGCTGTGCAGAATGGCTGGGGGGTTCCTGCCTGGGTGGGGGAGGAGTGGGACAGGATTGCATGATGCTCCCCTGACTTTGCCCTGTCCCCCTCCAGGTGGCGCAACACTGATCTTCGAGGTGGAGCTGCTGAAGATTGAGCGGCGACCGGAGCTGTAGGCAGGCAGCATTGGCTGTGGGTGGGTGGATGGAGGTCTGGGGGGGGCCTCGGCTTGGTGGGGGAAGGGTTGTGTGTGACCATGCGCACACGGGGGGTGGGGGGCAGAGGGGTGTTTAAAAAAATCCTGGAAGATCAAAAATAAAAGCACAGACTGGAGCTGTCCAGTGTGTGGGGGTAAGGGGTGCTGTGAAAGAAGGGGGGCTCTGGAGAATGGTGCAGAGGCAGGGCAAGCCCAGAGCAAAGTAAATTGAGAGCTGGGGCTCCTGGGTGCAATCTCGGAGGGGAGAGGGGGCTTGTCAGAGCAGGGAGTCCAGGCTTCTGAGTTCTCTCCCTGCCCCCAGGCAGGTGCTGTGAACCATCCTGCCATGGAGTGGCACTATCTGCCTTCGCCACAGGGTGGCACCTGGCAACAGCTGGCAGCCCCTCTGCCTGTGACCCGCTTTCCCAGGCAGAGAGGGGAGGGGCCACTTGCTCTGGGGCGGGGCTGTGCCTGGGACAGCATGGGCAGGGCAGGAGGGAGGCCTTGGGCACTGGCCTGGCTGGGAAGAGAGAGCTGAGGAGCTGAGCTGGGGGCAGGCCTCGACCTGCTGCAGGCCAGCTTCAAGGGCAGAGCGGGCAGCATGTGGGAACCAGCAGCAGTGACTCAGCCTGCTCCCAGATCCACCCTGTGAGACTGCAGCCGCACCCTGTGCTCACGAGGGCCCTGGGGTTGGACAGCAGGGGCTGGAGTAAGGGGCACTGGCACAGCTGGGGTTGGAGGGGGACATGGGGTGGATACCAGAGGGCTGCGAGGCTGGAGTAAGGGGCACTGGCACAGCTGGGGTCGGAGGGGGACATAGGGCTGGATAGCAGGGGCTGCAGGTTGGGAGTGAGGGGGACTGGCACAGCTGGGGTTGGAGGGGGACATGGGGTGGATAGCAGGGGGCTGTGGGTCGGGAGTGAGGGGCACTGGCACAGCTGGGGTCAGAGGGGGACATGGGGTGGATAGCAGGGGGCTGTGGGTCGGGAGTGAGGGGCACCGGCACAGCTTGGGGTTGGTTGGAAGGGAACATAGGGCTGGATAGCAAGGGCTGCGGGTTGGGAGTGTGGGGCACTGGCAGAGCTGGGGTTGGTTGGAGGGGGACAGAGGCCGGCTAGCAGGGGCTGCAGGTTGGGAGCGAGGGGCACTGGCAGAACTGGGATAGTGGGGGTCTGCAGGTCAGGATTTAGGAGAACTGGCAGACATGGGGTGCCCAGGGAGAGGAGGGAGGGGCAGTGCCAGGCCCATCTGGTCAGCCCCATCCTCCATTACCCAGCAGGGTGTATCAGGGAGCCAGCTGGGTTGCTGCTGGAGGGCAGGGGGCTGGGTGGGGTGGAATGGAGGCTGCCAGCGCACTCATCCCCACCACAGCAGGGTTCTGGCCCCAGCCCCGTCCTGCCGGCTCCCAGCCACCCGGTGACCTCAGGCCGGAAGCACGAAGTGTGGCTGCCGCCCGATTTGTTCCAGGAGCCAGGGACATTCTTTCCGTGCTGAGCTCAGCCCTGCCAGGAGCGGGGGAGGGGAGGCACTCAGCCTGGCCTGGATGGGGCCTAACCAGCCTCCTGGGGCATGGATGTCACAGGGCCAGGGAGCCCCTCCCCCCCAGCACAGACAGCCTGTTGCCAGTGCTGGGACCCACCTTGCCACCTGGTTGCCACAGCAGCTGCCTCCCACGGGGGGAGAGGGCCTGGGGAATGTGGAGCTGGCAGCGGCTGTGTGCGGGGAAGGAGAAGGGCTGCTCTGTGGGGTGCGAGGTGGTACCAGCAGCTGGTGCTGGGCACCCCAGTCCTTGGCCAAGCCCCAGGTGGGGCTCAGTTGGCCCTTCCTCTGCCTGTCTTTCCCAGGTGATTTGCAGATGCTGAGGGCTTCCCTTAGTGCTGCTGATCCCTCCCACCACCTATTAGCCACAATTAACATCTCGGCTGGGCATGTTGGCAGCAACAGGGTGTTATCCTGCAGGGGATCCCACCACCCCTGCTGGGAAAATGGGGCCCAGTCTGGACCTGCCCTCCATTCCCTTTTCGGCTGGGGGTATCTGCCCACAGCCTCCCTGCTCCCATCAAAAGATGCTTGAGAAATGGGGAAAGGGACTGCAGTCACCTCAAGCTGGAAGCCCTGCTGATTCCCATCCCACAGAGTGCCCTCTTCAGCCCCCCCCCCCCCCCCCCGCTTGGGAGTGTCCCACACACACCAGTGCCCACTTATACCAGTGGGTGCTACCCTCTGACCCCCAACCTGCCTGCAAGTTTCCCCCATTGGTCCTGCACCCCTGCCCCAAACCACCCAATCTACCCCCCTCCCCACCACAGGACAGCAGCTCCCTAACTCTCAAACACTTTTATTAAATTCATATAAAAACACAAAATTCATGTAATAATTAAAAAAACCTCAAAAAAAATCCTTACAAAAAATCAAATCATAACCCCCCTCCCCAGAGCCCCCCACTACCAAAAAAAGAGGGGGCTCATGTGGGGGTATTGCTAAGGAGCTGTCCAGCTGGCTAGTGATTATCAATGCACTGGGGAGGTTGAGGAGGGGCCCCCCCTCCCTCTACATCCCCAAGCTTTAGAGACGAGATTCCCCCCACCCCAGCCTGGTGCCATTGGTTGCTTCTCTCCCCCCTCCCTACCCCCCAGCTGGGGGAGGTGGGTCTAAGGACGGGGGGGGATCATTTCTTCTGGGGGGTGCTGAGCTTCTGCATGCCTCGGATCTTGTCGAGCAGGTCCCCCACAAAAGCCTGGTGGGGAGGAAGAGGAGAAGGGTTATGGGGGGCAGGAGCAGAAGCCCCTTTCCTTTCTGATAGAGCCCTGGAGTCCTGCCACCCACCCTGCCCTAACCCACTAGACCCCACCCCCTCCCAGACTGGTTCCTTCCCCCAGTGGCCCAGGATCCTCTAAGGATACAGCCCCCACCCAGCAGTAGGTTTCAGAGGGCCCCAGAAACCAGCTCTGGAGAGGAAGCCCCCACCCCAAAGTGACAGGTGTGTGTGGGGGGGACGGGACTGGAGAGGGAATAGCAGCTGCTGACCCAGCCTGGAGATTGATCACAACTGCTGGGGCGGGCCCAGAGCCATCCACCTCCCTCCCACTGTCCAGGGGGCGGGTCCCAATGTTTCTAGCTCCTGTGTGAGATGCAGGGGGACCTGCCACTCACCTCTGTGGGCTTGTAACAGTCAACCAGGAGCTCCTGGGGAAGGGACAGAGAGGGGGGTCAGGGCTGAGAGGGGGGCCGCCCACAGGCCAGATCCACCTCCAGGTCCAGTTGCCACCCCCAATATAACAGCTCTTGCAGTGCAGCTATCCTGCCCCATGGTTCACACCACCCAGACTTCCCCACAGTTTTGTGCATGCTGGATCTCCTACCCTGGCCCCATACCTTATATCCCCCTCCCTTGTAGCTCCCAGCCCTGCCTCCTTCCCTGCCCCATGGCTTCCAAGACACCACCACCACCCTGTCCCTTGGGTTCCCCACCTCCTCAGGCTGCATGATCCCCAGCTCTGTATCCTACTCCCTCCCCTCCTAGGCCAGCTGCCCTGGCATGCACCCCAACCCCATGGGTGGCTACTACAGGGCCCTCCTTGCAGCCAGGTCAGTACTGCCCCAGATTCTACCCCCACCAGGCTGGCTATCGTCCCCTACAGTGTGGTGCTTTGCTGCCCCAACCCTTCCCCTCTAGCCTGGCACTCCACCAAGCCCCTGCCACCATCCCAGGCACCTCACTAGTCCCAGCCCCACCCTGCACTCCCCCCCCAACCCCCTGCACTACCAGCTGAGCCCCACGCCAGCCCCAAGGGACTGACAGTGTGTCTACTGGCAGGGGGACCCTGCTGCATCCCCTACCTTCACCCTGGCTCCCCGGGCATCATCACTGCCCATGTCCAGCAGCTCATCTACATCGATCTCCAGTTCTGGAATCTCCTCTTCCTGGGAAAGGGGTGGAAATGATGAGGGGGGGTTAGTGCACTGGGGTAGCCCCCCCAACTAGTTACCCCCGACACACACACTGAAGAACAGGCCAGTCCCCACGCTCCCACCTCAGACTGAGACCGAGCAGTGCATGCTGGGAGCAGTCACACCTACCCCCATCACCCAGCTCCCCACCCACCCACCCACACTAAACCAGACTGGGAACCGGGGGTGGGGTGGGGAGATTAGCAGTTGGAAGAGTTTTAGCAGCACAACAGAAACGGCCTAATCAGGTCACCCTCCACTCCAGCAGCCAGGCTCAGACCTCCTCTCCCCCGCAAAAGAACCCCGCCTAATCAGCTCCCTGGCTAATTAAATCAGAAGTTGGGCTCTCCCCCCACGAGGGGGGGCATGGCAGACCCAGTCTGAACAATAGGATTCAGCCCCTCAAGCAGCTCCAGCTACTTACAGCCCCATTAGCCATCTCAGAGACAAGCTCCATATGGCGCATCTGGCCCTGTATAAACAGCCCTGGCACCTCACCCCAGAGGTGGCTGCATCTCAGCCCCGGGAGGGATCCCTGCGTGCGCCCCTCCCCCCAGCGCTGTGTGCAAGCGGGAGTCACCGAAATCCACACGGAGATTTGGAAACAGGAAGCAAGTCAGTTGGAATCCAGGGAAGAGTCACGCCGCCCTCCCCCCACCGCTGCCCCACCCCCTTTGCTTGGAGGGATTGTCCACATACACTAGCCTGTGCCCCCGGCCCCCACCAACATCAAAAACTGATTAACCCAAGCAAACTCCTCCCAAATGCCCTGGACCCCTCACCAAGGGGGGGGAGAGGCAAGCGGGGGGGGGGGGAGAATCTCCCCCCCCCTTAGGCAATTTAGGAATTAACTGTTTAGATTCCATCCAGCCCCACTGACTCTGGAAACGGGGGCGGGGTTGCCTGTCTCCCCCCGAGACTTTAAAGCGATTACAGCCTGCAAAGGAAATCCTTGGAACTAAGCAGCGTGAGAAACTTGGGGGAAGTTTCCAACCCGGCCCCCAAATCCACCGGCTACAGAGCAAATCTGGGGGAGGCCTGGCGCGCAGCGTGAGGGTCGGGATGGGATGGCGGCTGGTACTTAAGCGGGGGGGTCCAGATGGGGGTCACAGTCATGTGACCGGGCGAGGTCCTGTTTTGGGGACGGTAGATGGGGACTGGGAGACTCGTGTCCCTGGGCGAATGGGGGAGGGGACTCCCCTAGTTTGGAGATGGGGGTGCTTATTGGGGTGCTAGGGAAGTTGGGGGCTCGGGGGTCCCTGACAGGCAGAGATGGGGCTGTTCCAGGACCCGGGGCGGGGGTACCTGGCAGTCGTACAGCTGCGTGAGCTGCTCCAGGATCCACTCCTCCAGGTTAAGCCGCTTGCGAAGCTCCTTGCGATCGTATTTCACCGTGACCTTCCCCTGGCGCCGGACCGGCCCCTCCTCCTCCTCCTGGCCCGGCTCCCCCGGGGGGCTCTGGAAATACACCCGGGGGCTTGTGGCCCCCGCTGGGCCGCTCTCTGGGCTGCAAGGCGCTGCCATCCGCCGTGCCGGGGACCCGAACCGGGTCAGAACTGACTGCGCTGCTGCCTGAACCGAGCCCACGTGGGCTCAGAACCTCCGGCTGCTGATGCCGGGAGCGGCTCTCAGCTGGATCCTGCCGATGCTGCCTCAGCCCAGACCCCGGCACACGTGGGTCCAGAACCGAAGCCGCCTTCAGCTGCCGATACCGCGATGGAAGGAACCAGGTCCTCTTCCTGCCCTCGCGGGAACCAGAACCGGATCCTGCTATTACGAGCTCTGGGTTCTGCCTTCAAGGAACCAGGACCACGTGCAGTCTGGGCCAGATCCTTCCACTGCACGGAACCGGGCCCAGGCCGGAACCAGAACCGCCTTCAGCCTAGTACTAGGTGCTGGGTCGAGATTCACTTCTTGTCTGCACCGAATCGGGACCAAACCCACATCCGTCCTGCCTATTCTGGGACCACGTGCAAACCGAACCGGGGCCGAGCCTCCTCCCGGACCCTAATTCGCTTCTTGCCCGAACCTAGTACGACCAGAACCGGATCATGGTGCTGTCTTGTCCCGAACTAGGTCCGGATCCCCTCTTCTTCCTGGTGTTTCCGGACCAGGGGGCCAGGATCAGAACCAGAATATGGAAAAGCTCCGTCTCCTGCTGGTACCGGATCCGCCTGGTGCTGCCACTACCGGTTCTTCCCAGCCCCAGTTGCTAGTACCGGCTCCGGCCAGCGCTGTCCTGGGTGCTGGTACCGGTTCCTCCGGTACTCACTCGCCCTAGCCGCAGTACCGGTTCCTCCCGGCTCTGGTTCGGTTCCGATCCGCTCCCCCCGACGGCCCCTTTGTCCCGCTGCTGCCGCTATCGCTCGCTCCTCGCCTCCCTCCCCCGCCCCCTCCCCGCCCCCTTAAAGAGGCCGCGTGTCTGTCTGTCCGTCCCCTCCCCCAGTCCTTCTGTCCGTCAACACCCTCCTCACGAGAAGGGACGGGAGGTCAGGCTGCGCCCCCGCCACCCACCGCAAGCGTCTTTTTGTCAGTCCGTCGCTCCCTCACCTCCTGTGTCCGCCTGTCTGTCCGTCATCCCCCCCACTGTAGGGGGTGGAGTGAGGTCAGTCTGCTCGCCCCCAACACAGCGACTTTCAGTCCCATCCAGGATCTTCTACCCCCCCCCGCCCCCCCCCCCCCCCCCCCGGTCTGTCCCCAACCCCTCCCCCACGGGACAGGGGCGCTCGGGCTATCCCTCCCTCTAACCCAAGGTCGATCAGCCTGTCTCTCTGTCCCTCCCACCCCCCGTCTGTCTGTCCATCCCAGAGGTGTCCCTCCCCTAAACTCCCTCCCCCCCATACCCAGGGGCTATCTGCCCCTTCCCCATGGGGTTCTGCCCTTCCCCTGCACATGCTGTGTGTCCAGGCCACAGAGTTTATTCTTGGTGTGTGTCCCCTTCCCACCCACCCCCACCCCCACCCCCGCTTTGTCCATCCATCCATTCCCCCATCTAATTCCCCCACCACATCTTGCCTGTCTCTGGCCTCTCCAGGGCATGCCCATTTGTCCTTCTGTCTCACAATGGAGGGAGGGGGGAGTGTCTGTCCATAACAAAGGAGCGGAGGGAGGCTGTCAATTTGTCCAACCCGCCCTCCCCCAGTCTTGACTGCCCCCACAGACAGCCGATCTGCCCCCCTCATGTCTGTCCCTGTCTATCTGTCTCCATCCTTCCTGTTCCGCTGTGGGAAGGCAGCGATGGTGGGGGAGGAGCAGCTCCCTGCAGCCTGGGAGATAGCAAGGAAGGAACCCCCCTTCCCACCTGGCTCAGGCTGCAGTTTGCACGGGGGGAGGGGGAGGCAGCAGGCTCTGACCTGGGTTATTTGGAGAGGGACTAGGATAGAGACAGTGAGAGCTGAGGGGCTGGGAAATCTAGTGGTCACTCCTCATGCTGGTGGGGCACGCCCGGGGGGCTGTGTACCCAACCCAAGCATCCCTCACTTGGTGCTGAGATGTGATGCAGCCACCTCTGGGGAGGGGCATGGAGCTGTTTATACGGGGATCCCTTGCCTGGTGCTTAGATGCAGTGGTGTCTGGGGTGGGACGCAGGAGCAAGGATCCCTTGCCCCTGAGCTGCAGCTAGTGCCACCTCTGGGGTGGGGCACAGGGGCAGTACAGAGCAGTATTATGCTCCCTGCAGAGAGGTGACTAGAGAGAGAGGTATGGGGGAGGGGGGATTTACAGGGGTGGCATGGAAAGGCCTGGAGGCCTGGGCTCACATTCCCCTTCTCACATGGAAAGCTCTAGGAGGGAGGGCTGGGGCATGTTTTCCCTCTTGCTAGCAACCACGCTGGGGTGTAGCCCCGCACCTGTCCAGGGGGCGGAGGAGGGGGTCAGCAGAAGGAGGGGTGATGGTAGAAAAGTTTCAGTGGGGGGGGGTGGGGGGATAACTGGATACAAAGGGACAGCGGGAGCGGCGCTCTTTGGGTGCCCTTCCCCCCCCCCCCCCCCCGTCCATGCACACACACACACCCTGACCCCATTGGGAATTTGTGGGGGCCTGAGGGCCGCTGTCCCTTTAAGAACTGGCTCCCTGCGGCCGGCCTGGCCCAGGGCGTCGGGGAAACACGTGGCCGGGATTGAGTAACAGAGCCGCGATTCAGGCGCTTCCTGGCCTGGCCGGGGCCCCGGAGCAAGCGCGGCAGCTGCGCCCGACAGTGACACTCTCCGCGGCCTGATCCGAGCCTCCCCCTGTGCCTGCGCCCCAAGCCCCAGAGTGACCCCGCCAAAGGGAGCCCCCCCCGCACTCCTGTGGCGTTCCCCAGCTAGCTGCCCCCCCCCATGCTTCCTACCACACTCCCCCAGCATGGTGCAGATCATACCCCTCCCTCGGGCACTGCCTTGGGCTCAGCATGCTGGGGCAAGGGCACCGGTTAAATGCCCCCCCGGGGTCCCAATCCTTCCACAGGGGGTGGGGATGGCTCCTCAGTGTGGGGAGGTGGAAGCCAGGAGTCCTGGGTTCTGTTCTTGGCTCTGGGAGCGGAGTGGGGTCTCTCCCTTGCAGCCCTACAATTCTATTGTGCTTCAGGGGGAGGGGGGGAGACTAGTGGGTAGAGCAGAGCAGGGGCCTGGAAATCAATGTCTCCCCAGAGATATCCCAGCCACCATGGTCATGGCTAGGGCTGGTGGGTGCTACCCCACAATCTGCATCACACAGCATCCACCCCCATCAAAATCCCGTCCCATGCACTATCCCCATGGGACAGACGGGGGGGGGCGGGACTGCAGCACCTGGCTGTCACCTGTGAGCATGCACTAGGGTCAGTGCAGTCTGCGGTGGTCCAATGCATTATCCCCATGCAACATGCGGGGGGGCTATGAGCATGCAGGGTGTGTGCAGCAGTAATGCAGCCTATGTGCATGCATTGGAGTCATGCAGCCTACATAATTCCCATGCTGTGACCCCATGTGGCTAGCATAGAGTTTGGGGGCACATTGATGCAGCTGTAAGCATGCACTAGGGTCAATGCAGCCTTGCACTATTCATATGCAGCTTAGAGCCAAAGAACGCTGCAACAATGCACCATTCCATTGTACTGCTGCCGTGCAACAGGCAGGGAGGCTGTGCAGCACACTGATGCAGCCTCTGTGCATGCATGCATTAGTGACCGTGCCACCTAAACTATTCCCCTGGGCTGTCCCCATTCAGCAGGCTGGTGTTTGGGGCTGCATGCAGCACATTGCCACAGCCTGTGCACTAGGGCCGGTGCACACTGTTCCTCTGGCACGTAGGGCCCTTGGGTGCAGGAACCCAGGAAGCGTCGCGTGGCCACTGCGAGGGCATCAGATCCATTCATGGAGCTAGGGGTGGGTTTCAGGAACGTAAAGACTCTGGCCCACAAAGGCTGTTCTCTGTGCGGGTGCGGCGGGCTGCAGCCCGACACTGCCACCTACTGGCTACTCGGGGAATGGTCGCAGCAAGGACAAAAGGGAAATGGGATTCACCCAAAGGTGGAAGGGGTGGAGCTGCTAGCCTGGGTTGAGGGGCACTGGCAGAGGTGGGGTGGGGAGCACAGGCCTGGGATAGCTGGGAGCTGTGGGTTGGGGCTGAAGGGCACCAGCAAAGCACAGGGCTGGGCAGCAGGCAGAGAGGAGCATCCAGATAGATGCCCCGTAGGTTGAGACCCAAACACTCTCTTTAGCTTACATCAGTACTGTACTCCGGAAGACTCCCACCCCCCACCCCCATGGCTCCCACCCTGCCCCAGACCCAGGCGCTGCCCTTGGTTCCAGAGCCGCCCCCACACCCTGTTTGCTCTCATTGCAAATTCCCCCAACTCCCCCCCACACTCAGCCAGGTTCCTCAGGGCACAGCCCCTCTCCCCCCTTCCCCCTCTGCATTGTTTATTCCCCAGAAAGACTGGCATGGGGCCGGGGGGAGGGAGCAGAGGCAGATGGGGCCTGTCAAGGGGAACAGCCCCAAAGGGGCTCCATACAGATGGAAAAGTGTTGCCCATTTGTGGAAACTGCAGGCGGGGGGGTGGGGGTGAGGCATTGCTGGAGTGGGGAGTCACAGAGGGGGGTGCAATAGGCCCACCCTCCTGCTGCTCCCCACACTAGGTGGCTAGATTTCCCCCACAACATCCCAAGGACTCCTGAGTCCCAAGACAGCGGCAGGTGCATGGAGGTGGGGGGCCCTACTGCCTGGGTCTGGTCCCATAGCTGGTGAATCCTGTTCTCTCCCCATGCCCCTTTGTTCGCCATGCTGGAAACTGCCTTGGATCCCTTTGCCTGATCTGGTGCTAGTGGGCGCTGTGCTGCAGGCAGCGGGGTGGGCGGGCTCAGTAGAGGGTGCTCTCTCCTTGCAGTCAGTGCTAGCCCCAGTGTACCAGTGTGGTGCTAGGGCAGGGGTAGGCAACCTATGGCACGCGTGCCGAAGGCGGCACGCAAGCTGATTTTCAGTGGCACTCACTCTGCCCGGGCCCTGGCCACCGGTCCGGGAGGCTCTGCATTTTAATTTAATTTTAAATGAAGCTTCTTAAACATTTTAAAAACCTTATTTACTTTACATGCAACAATAGTTTAGTTATATATTATAGACTTATAGAAAGAGACCTTCTAAAAACGTTAAAATGTATTACTGGCACGCGAAACCTTACATTAGAGTGAATAAATGAAGACTCGGCCCACCACTTCTGAAAGGTTGCTGACCTCTGTGCTAGGGGGTGCGGTGCTCCAAGGTGGGGCGCTCTCCCACTGAAGTCAGTGCTGATCCCAGTCCCTCTGTGCTGCAGGGAGCAGGGGGGACAGTGGGAGGTGCTCTCCCCACATAATCAGTATTGGCTCATATGGGAGCTTAGGGGTCTGGAGCTGGCTTGGATCAAAGACCTGGTTGATGGCAGTAGTCAACATCTTCCAGCTCAACTCCCCAGCCCAGCACTGCCTGTAGGGTGACCAGATGTCCTGATTTTATAGGGACAGTCCCGATTTTGGGGTCTTTTTCTTATATAGGCTCCTATTACCCCCAACCCCCGTCCCGATTTTTCACATTTGCTGTCTGGTCACTCTAACTGCCTGTGTCCCAGTGGAGTTTAGAGACCCTGGAGGAGAAATACAGGGAATAGGAAAGGTGAGGGGGATGGGGGCACACAGGGTCCCTGGCATGAGGGGAATGGGGGACCCTGGCATTGGGGGGGAAGAATGGGGGATTCTGATATGGGAATAGGGGGCAACCAGAGCCCTAGGGAAGAGGGACGGGGTGGTGGGAAATGCAGTGAGTCCCTGAAACAGAGGGGGGTGGGTGTGCGGTACCCAGGGAGGGAGCTTGGGGGATTGAGGGATTTAAGGAGCCTTATTGCGCTGCACAGTGTATGACCCTTTAGTATTAG